ATTGAGTGGATGTGTTTTCCTATTRCACTCTTGAACTGTGACAGGAGAAAAGTACAGATTGTCCACTGCCGAATGGTCTTCTTTACCTTTGCTGTCTTTTGCCATTGTAGCAGCTGGTCATAGAGCTCCAGAGAGCTCTTGGCTATCACTAGGTGGCTTTTGCTTATGAGCATTACAGTTTAAGGAGCCATCACATGCACACTTGTAAATTAGCCCACACCTTCAACAGCGTCTATGATTTTAAATACTTGAACCTGCAAATGAACAGGAAATGCACATCATTCGTGCTTCCTGTTTTACCATGTGTAGCATACAAGTCAGTGCATCTTTCCTTTGAAAAGATGCATGTGTTCCCAATCCAAGAAGAACTAATGAATTATCCTGTGGTGAAAAAAATATGCAAACATCAACAAAATAGGAATCAAAAGTAACTCACCACTTCCTTTTCTCTCCCCTAACCTTCAGTTCCAATTTGATGATTCAACAGCAAGCAAGCAAAAAAAGTTGTCTAATCACCTGTGACAAATCCTGAACTGCTTCTGAAACAGTTATCTACCATTGTTTTCCTTTTATAGACATTACGTCTATAACTCTATATGTAATGCCTAGAAGGTCAAGTTAAACCTTTAATAGATTGCTTTAGTGAAAACCAGCAGTTCAAATGAGAGAATCGAATCACAGAACACAAGGTGGGGAGGAGAGACAACTAAGCTGGATTTGGATGAGTAGTGTCTTCCTAGACCTACTACTCCATTTTTCCCAAAAAAGAAACTTTCCACAGCCTCAGATTAACAACATTTGAAAGATTTTCTGTTCCTGGTTTGAAAATGTTATTTCTTGTTTCATTGTGTGGTACTCACTTTGAAAAAAGTTGTTATACTCCAGAAACTTCATTGTTGTGGCCATCACAAACTATGTTGAATTAGTTGAGGCTCTATGAGATATTCATTGAAAAATTATATCAAAATGTGCTGCAGGATGTCCCACAAACAACAACGTTTTGGCAGTTTAATAATTGTTCTCCATGTTTTTATGATAGAACCAATTAGGACATAACATTTACAACCCAGGAACAAAATTGTGTTACAAAGTGTTGTTACCAGCCTCAATCAGGAAAAAAGAAACAGATGGTTTTGTTATTAGGGAGGGAGATTTCTACAAGCCACAAGTGAGATTCAACATTCAACATTTGAGAAAAGGGGGAGATTTTTCCAAGCGATGACTAAAGAATGGATTTCCTCATAATAAAGCAGACACATGACAAGTGAGGAGGTTTTCTTCAGCAAGTTGAAACAGTAATATCAAAATACGTTGATGATATATTGTATCAACTAGAGATAATGGATCTAGAGGGAATTAGAGCTCACCGGAAGTACTTGAAATAACTGTAAAATTGTCCCACCTTTGATGAGAGTCTTTTGGTTCTTGTCAGATCTGAACAGGAAATTACAAACTACATGTATCAAGAAAGGCAAAAGTAAGCCTTGATAACTACTTTGTGCTCTTGCCTGTGAACTTTATACAAGAACCGTACTTATTGCTTGTCTTCAGAGGATTTAACTGCCACTCCTCCTTCTGTATTTTGACAAAAGTTAACCAGTAGCAAGTGACACAATCTGCTGCACTGTTGCTGAGAAGCAAGCCTACTGAAGTCATTTAATATGCACAGAAAGAGTATAAGAAAACAGACAGCCCAATATCAAATACATTCCAAAATACGTTAAATGCACTGGATCCAATCTGATCTTAGAAACTAAGCAGTATCGGCCCAAGTGAGTACTCTCAACTTTGAGTACTTCTTGCCTACGAAAATTCTATGAAATTCATGGGGTCACCAATGTCAACAGGCAACTTGTAGGCATGTAAACATACAATATCCAATATGCTCAATTCATGCTAATGTGTTTGGCAAGGAGAACACCTGAATACATATATATATCCTATACATTTGGCTGGTTTCCAAAATGATGGCATTAAACCTTCAGTACATGCACACATATACTTTGGAGCACATACACTGACCTTGACCTCTATTAAGACCAATTTAGGGCCCTTCCACATACCCCTATATCCCAGAATATTAAGGCAGAAAATCCCACATTATCTGAGTGTGGACTCAGATAACCCAGTTCAAAGCAGATATTGTGGGATTTTCTGCCTTAATATTCTGAGTATAGGGCTGTGTGGAAGGGCCCTTAGACCAACTTAGAGAGGTGGCTGGAACGTTCAACTCGGGATACCTAAGGGTAAAAAAAATCTACACATTCTAGTGATTGTAGGCGCCCATTTCCTTGACTCTTCCATGCACTTCCTGTGTACAAAAGTCTTATCCTGTATTATACATACATTTCCTTGGGATCATCATCAATCTCTTCTGGTCGCTTCTGGAAGAGGTTGATGATGATCCCAAGGAAATGTATGTATGAGAGACTCCCTCCTGGGCACACAGAAAACTGGGCGACTTGGAAGGCACTGAACAGACTGCGCTTTGGCATGACGAGATGCAAAGCCAACCTTAAGAAATGGGGCTACAAAGTGGAATCCATGACATGTGAGTGTGGAGAAGAGCAAACCACAGACCACCTGCTGCAATGCAACCTGAGCCCTGCCACATGCACAATGGAGGACCTTCTTACAGCAACACCAGAGGCACTCCAAGTGGCCAGCTACTGCTCAAAGGACATTTAGTAGAATACCAGGTCTGCAAACTTTATGTTTTGTTTGTTTGTTTGTTTAATGCAAAACAACTGTTTTGGTTCGCTCCTGACACAATAAATAAAAATAAATCATCAAAACCTCTCAGCTGCCCTGAGTCCCCCTAGAGGTTGAGATGGGCGGGGTAAAAGTGTTTCGAAATAAAATCGAAATAAATAAGTAAGCATAGAACATATTTCAGTATTCAGCATATACTGAAATGAAAGTGACAATTCTGCAACTTTTCAGCCCACCTCAACAACAGTTACTAAGTGCACTAGAGAACTACAAGGCCATTAATCCCATTTCAGTGGTCGAGGATGCACTTCACAGCCCCAAGCCAACTCTTAGATACAAGCAAGGAACCTACAATTCCCACTCCAAGTAATCTGATGAACACATAATTTCTTTCTCTGTAAGCTTGCACAGAAGCAAACATCTGCACACATGAGACTGGATTTTGAACTAGAATTAGGAGATCAGATATAAAGGGCTCCACATTTATTAGGGTGGCAGTGTAGTAAACCTTAGAGAAGTGGTTCTCAACTTGTGGGTCTCCAGATGTTTTGACCTTCAACTCCCAGAAACCCTAACGGCTGAAAACTGGCTGGGATTTCTGGGAGTTGTAGGCCAAACCATCTTGGGGACCCACATGTTGAGAACCACTGCCATAAGGAAGGAGATCTCCAATTTCTTTTCTATATGGAGAAGGAAGGAACAAAGTGTCCAAGTTCTATCAACAATCATGTACTTTAAATTTTAGGAGTCAACATGATGCAATGCTGTTTCAGCACTGGACTAGGACTCCAGGTGAGTGTTCAAATCCCTGCTCAGCCATGGAAACACATTGGGTAGCCTTGGTCAACTCAGCTAAAACCATATTTTCATAGAATCACAGAGATGGAAGAGACCTCTTGGGCCTTCCGGTCCAACCCCCTGCCAAGAAGCAAGAAAATTGCATTCAAAGCACCCCGACAGATGGTCATCCAGCCTCTGTTTAAAAGCCTCCAAAGAAGGAGCCACCACCATATCAATCTTGTGAAGAAACCCTGTGACAGGTTAGCCTTAGGTCTCCACAAGTTGGAAACATATTGAAGACACTCAACAACTTTTAAACTGCTTCAAATCTCAAGGAGTATTAGAAGGCTGTGCCATAATTTATTTCCCTTTGGAATGGAGTTCAGAAACCTAGTGCTAGAGGGAAAGTTAGTCTGCCTGAAGAAGAGATGTATCAAGAGGTCATCATCATCATCATCATCATCATCATCTTTATTTATACCCCGCCACCATCTCCCCAAAGGGACTTGTGGTGGCTAACATAAGGCCAAGCCCAAACAGAATACAATAGAGCAAAAGTACATATAAACAAAAACAATGACATCAAATAAAATACTTAATAATAACATAGTAATGAAATGAAAATAACAAAATCATAATACAAACAAATAATAAAATGGTAATAAAGTGTTCCCTCACTTATTCCGGGGATTAGGTTCCAGGAGCTCCCACAATAAGTGAAAAACTGTTATGTGGGGATGCTCTATTTATTTTAATATTTATACATTATTTTAGTAGTTGTACACTATTTTAAGTCTTTATAAACTTAAAATAAAGTGAAGAAAGGAAGGAAATACCCTTTGAGGCTGGAGGGAGGAAGGACTGAGGAGGAAAAGCGCCTTGGAGAGCTGTGGTGGCAAAACCCCACAAAACAGTGAAAATACCATGATATATATTTTAAATTAATATTTTTGATGTATTGTCGAAGGCTTTCATGGCTGGAATCACTGGGTTGTTGTAGGTTTTTCGGGCTATATGGCCATGTTCTAGAGGCATTCTCTCCTGATGTTTTGCCTGCATCTATGGCAAGCATCCTCAGAGGAGGATGCTTGAAATCCGCGAAACAGCGAGTCCACAAAAAGCGAACTGTGAAGTAGCAAAGGAACACTGTAGACTTAGACAAGGAGAGCAAGGCCCATGGATAAAAATGGATAGAATTTGGTAAAACTCATGAGTGAGATAGGTAGAAAGTGCTATGATTTGTGGGGGGCACAGACAGGATAGCAGTAGAGTTAATCTTCCACTGAGGGATAAGATGAAGAGTATCAGAGAGACAAGTTGGACTTGGGACGGGATGTGGCATAGCAAGGCAATTGACTGTTCAGTCCCCAAAAGCACAATGTAAAAGCCATGTTTTAAAACTTTTTCTAAAGGCTGCCAAGGTGGGAGCCTGTCTAATCTAATATACAGTAGAAGAGGTGTGAGACGACAGAAGTGAGACCTGGCTGGTGTCTCGGGAGGCTCCTCACCTCTCTTGCTGCGTCTCCATCGGCCGCCTTGGCAGTGACTGTAATCCATACAGTTCAGGACGATCAAGGCAAAGGAGAAGAGGCGAAACTGCATCCTTCAGCTCCGTCCTGGGCTGGGAAGGGGGGCTCCCCGCAGCAGCAAAAAGCAGTGCAGCTGGGGATGTTTCCAAGATCACCAGAGCCGAGGAGTGAGAAACTTCCCTCCCTTGGAAGAGAGAGGGAGAGTGAGCGAAGGCTGTCCGAAGCCGCTCTCACATCCCCAGCATCCCCAATGAGCCAGAGCCACTGAGCAGCAGTTTCTGTGCAGTCCTGACAACTCTGAGCATCTCTGTTGGTCTGTGAGAGGAGAGAGAGAGAGAGAGAGAGAACAAACATGAAATGAACATGCAGAAAGTCTCCATCATTACAAACCCACATGCCTAGGCTGGTTTACAGAAAGGGTCCATCTACACTGTGGAATTAATTCTGTTGGACACTACTCTAACTTCCATGACTCAATGCTACAGAGTTGTGAGCTGTTCAGCAGTGGAACTCTCTGCCCTGGAGTGTGGTAGAGGCTCCTTCTTTGGAAGCTTTTAAACAGAGTTTGGATGGCTATCTGTCAGGGGTGCTTCGAATGCAATTTTCCTGCTTCTTGGCAGGGGGTTGGACTGGATGGCCCATAAGGTCTCTTCCAACTCTATGATTCTAAGTGTAGTTTAGTGGGGCACCACCACTCTTTGGCTGAGAATTATAGAAGCATAGAATATAAACCCCACTTGCCCTGTTTCCAACAAACTTCAGAACCTCTGAGGATGCCTGCCATAGATATGGGCGAGATGTCAGGAGAGAATGCTTCTGGGACAGCCCAGAAAACTCACAGCAACCCAGTGATTCCAGCCATGAAAGCTTTCAACAACACATAGAATCACAGAGTTGGAAGAGACTTCATGGGCCATCTAGTCTAATTCCCTGCCATGCAGGAAAGCACAATGAAAGAATCCCTGACAGATGGCCATCCAGGCTCTGTTTAAAAGTTTCCAAGGAAGGAGAAAGGTAACAGTTTGGGGGTGCATCAACCCCGCAGAATTAATGGAGTGTGACAGCACTTTAGGTGCCATGGTTCAAAGCTATGGAATCATGGGAACTGTTTCCTTTCTTTGGCAAGGAAAACTGAAGCAACAACTTCTGTGTTTCCATAGCATTGAGCCATGGATTCAGCCTCAGATAACTCTGCAGGGTTCACTGTCAGATGAGCATCACCCTTTTTTGGCTGAGTCCTCAGGCACATCTACATTGTAGAATTCATGCAGTGTGGGTCCACTTTAACTACCCTCACTCAATGCTAGGAGTCCCCAGAGTTATAGTTTCATAAGTCCTTTTCTGACCCCAGTGGTGCAGTGGGTTAAACCCTTGTGCTAGCAGGACTGCTGACCGAGAGGTCAGCGGTTCAAATCCAGGGAGACTGGGGTGAGCTCCCATCTGTCAGCTCCAGCTCCCCATGCGGGGACGTGAGAGAAGCCTCCCACAAGGATGGTAAAGCAACAAACATCCGCGCTTCCCCTGAGCAATATCCTTGCAGACGGCCCATTCTCTCACACCAGATGCAACTTGCAGTTTCTCAAGTCGCTCCTGACACAAAAAAAAGCCTTCTCTGCCAAACAATGCTGGTGCCTCATCAAACTATAACTCCCAGGATTCCACAGAATGAAGTCAAGGCAGTGATAAAGTGATGTCCAACTTTATAGACGGACCCAGACAGTTTCAACCCCACAGCAAGCACACAAACAAACAAACAGCACACACCCCTTCCAGCAGATCACCCTCCACAATCCTTATAGGCGGGATAATTTGGTTAAAGAAGTGAGAAAGAGAGGGAGAGGACCTCTCAACACTGGCATATAATGCTGTCGGAAACTGTACTATATGGTCAGCGCTTGGCTGCATTATAGGGCAGTGTAGATGGGGCTGGAAAGAGAGAGAAAGAGAGAGAGAGAGAGAGAGAGGAAGCCCAATCCCAGGGAGGCACCCACGTTCCGCCTGGATCCCGCCTGGGCGCAACGCGGTCCTGAGCGCAAAGGAACCCGGCGGCGCTCTTTCGGGGGTCCTGCTGAACTAGGATGGAGACCCCGCCCACTTTGGGGAAGGGGACGCGCGCGGACAGCGGGGAAAGGGCGCCCGATTGGTTTCCCCGGGAGGGGGCGGGTTCAGCCCTGGCTTCAGAAGGTGCCCCCCAGGATCCCGAGGAGCGCCTTGCCCTTCTCGCCAGGCACCCCTCTTCCCCCCCCCCCACTCTCTCTCTCCCTCTCTCCCTTCAGCCCCTCTTGCGGCGCCTCTGGGCCGGGGAAGGGAGCAGGACTGGGGGCTCAGAGGAAAGAGCCCTCCAAAACAAGGGGAGTTCTTTTAAGTATGGTATAGTATAGTTTATACGCACACACTACACTAGAATAGTACAGTATAGTGAAATATAGTACAGTAGATATATACAGGGTGAAGCGGGATGCTGTGGAATATACACATACTATACGATTAAAGTATTGTGTGTGATATATACATACACACTTTATTATACATACACACAAACTGTTCCACAGCATATATATATATATATATATATATATATACACACACACACACACACACACACACACATACATATATACATATTACATACACAATACTAGCCTATACTAAACACTATATTGTACACTATAGTATACCACACTGTCCTATACACAATATTACAATACTATACTATGAACTATACTACACTATACTGTACACTACACTATACAACACTATAATGTACCCTATAATATACATATATATACTATTCCACCGTATATAATACCACACTATACACTATACTACACTATACTGTACAGTGTACTATATACTATATTACACTGTGTTATACACTAGAATATACTACACTACACTATACACTATACTAAACTATCCTATACACTATACTATACTATACACTATACTACACTATAATGTACATTATACTATACACTATGCTACACTATACACTATACTGTACACTATACTATACTACACTGTCCTATACACTATACATTATATTATATACTATACTATGAACTATACTACACTATATTGTACACTATACACTATACTACACTATATTATACACTAAACTACACACTATACTATATACTATACTGTACACTACACTATGCACTATACTACACTATACTATAAACTATACTATGAACAATACTATACTATACTACACTATACACTATATACACTAAACTACACACTATACTCTATACTATATTGTACACTATACTACACTGTCCTATACACTATACCATGAACTATACTACACTATACACTATACTACACTATACTATACACTATACTACACTATACACTATAATACACTGTCCTATACACTATAATATACACTATACTATACACATGTACACAATTATTCCACCGCATATAATAGTACACTATACTATACATATATACACATCGAGAGAGGATAATATATAGTACAGTGTAGTATTATATGCGGTGGAATATATATATACACACAGTCCTATTCCACCACATGCAAGAGAGCACCTTTCCAGGAGCGAAAAGGAGAAGCGAGGCAGAGATGAGTGCAGCACCACCACCACCAACAGCAACAGCAGCAGCAACATGAGGAGTAAGAGTGTACCTCCTCGGCTGTCCTTCCCTCGCCAGGGCTCTTTCGCTCCCTTCCCGCGTGGAAGCAGACGGAGCAAAGCGTGGAAAGCAACACACGTGGAGCCTCCTCCGCTTCTGTCGCTCTTTCCAAGGCGCAACGGAGCCCTGAGGGGGAGAGGGAAGCCAGGGAAGGTCCCACCTCGGCGGCGGCTTAATCCCTCGGAGCCGCGCTGGGCTCCTGCTCGGCCGCTACTTGGCGCTTCCGAGGGCCTTTATAGGGCGCGCGTCCCCCTCGAGCGCTCGCTCGCTCGCTCTCCCGCTCCTCCGCCTCGCGGCCTCTGGGTCTTCTGGTTCCTCTCCTCGCGGAGGCGGGAAGCAGAGGGCGCTGTGCTCCACGGCATCCACCTCTCCGCCTGCCAGGGATGGAGAATTGGGGACGGAGGGGGGGGGACACACTCCTTGCCCTTTCCACCCTCTCCAGACCGGGGCTTCTCCTCCAGACCTTCAGGAAAGGAGTCGGGATTCACTCGAGGAAACTTTCCCTTGCTTTCCTCCCCACTGAAAGCTCGGAAAGCATTTCAGAGGGACCAAAGTCGAGCTTCAGTTGCAACCTAGAGTAGTGGTTCTCAGTCTTCCTCTTGCTGAGACCCCTTCATACAGTTCCTCATGTGGTGGGGACCCCCAACCATAACATTATTTTTGTTGCTACTTCATAACTGTAATTTCGCTACTGTTATGAATTGTGATGTAAATATCTGATATGCAGGATGTATTGCCATTCACTGGACCACATTGGCACAAATACCCTATATACTGGTGGGATTGGAAATGGGATTGACTTTGTCATTTGGGAGTTGTAGTTGCAGGGATTTATAGTTCACCTAAGATCAAAGAGCATTCTGAACTCCACCAACACCAAACTTGGCATAAAGAACTCCCATGACAGAAAAAAATACTAGAAGAGTTTGGTGGACATTAACCTTGAGTTTTGGAGTTGTAGTTCAACTACATCCAGAGAACACTGTGGACTCAAACAATGATGGACCAGGACCAAACCTGGCACCAATACTCGACATGCCTAAATGTGAACACTGGTGGAATTTGGGGAAAATAGACCTTGACATTTGGAAGTTGTAGTTGCTTGGATTTATAGTTCACCTACAATCAGAGAGCATTCTGAACTACACCAATGATGAAATTGAACCAAACGTGGCACACAGAACTCCTATGTCCAACAGAAAATACTGGAAGGGTTTGGTGGGCATTGACCTTGAGTTCTGGAGTTGTAGTTCACCTACATCCAGAGAGCACTGTGGACTCAAACAATGATGGATCTGGACCAAACTTGGCACCAAAAATCAACATGCCCAAATGTAAATACCAGTGGGATTTGGGGAAAATAGACCTTGACATTTGGGAGTTGTAGTTCCTGGGATTTATAGTTCACCTACAATCAAAGAGCATTCCAAACCCCACCAATGATAGAATTGGGCCAAACTTCCCACACAGAACTTCCATGCCTGAAGGGACTCACTGAAGCAAGCCTCCCTCACATGCTCTCCCTCACCCCCACTTGAGCACCATGCTGCCATGCGCTAAGCATGCCTCTCTCCCCTCCCCCACTTGGAGTCTCACAAACAGCCCTCCCCTTGGCTGAGAGGCCAGCCAATCACAGCGGAGGAGGGCTTTTGGTGGGAGGATTCGCCATCTGTTTCTAAAAGGAAGAGAAAGACAGGTGGAGAGATCTTCAGCCTTCTCTGCCAAAGGGGTTCCTAAGACCATCAGAAATATATGTTTTCTTACGGTCTTTGGTGACCCCTCTGAAACCCCCTTGCAACCCCATCCTGGGGTCCCACCCCCCAGGTTGAGAAACACTGATCTAGACACCATACTCCTATTTATGCAGGCCAAAATCCCATTAGCTTTTATAGCTGCCACATGACATTGTTGGCTCATGTTTACCTTGTCCACAAGGAATTTATCTAAAACTGATAAAATAAAGGGATCACATGCTCCTAGATCAGTGGTTCTCACCCTGTGGGTTCCCAGGTGTTTTTGGCCTACAGTTCCCAGAAATCCCAGCCAGTTTCCCAGGTGTTAGGATTTCTGGGAGTTGAAGGCCAAAACATCTGGGGACCCACAGGTTGAGAACCACTGTCCGAGATAGTTTTAGACCCAAAATGGGCAACAGTGACCACATTGTCTGTAGCTTTCAACCATTCTTCCTCTGTGCATGAGGCAGTACATTGTGGGCAAGCATACAGATGCGGAGTTGTCTGTTCTGCTCCAGAGTTGCACAAGATGGAGGATTCCTCTAGGTAGTGCCATTTTCCCAGGTTGTCTTTTGATCTGCCTACTCCGCTTCTGGGTCTGTTCAGGGACTTCCAAGTTGTCCATTCTTGGTTTGCCCCTGAAGAAGACCTTTGTAGGGGGCCATCCAGTTGGGATTGCCTGATTTTGCTGCCCACAGGGATATTCTTGTTGTTGCTGGAGGAACATTAATGGGAGTGGTGGTTCTCATGAAACTTTTCCTTAATTTGAGTCCACTGGGAGAAGGCGGATAGCCGTGCAGTGGGTGGCTTGCACAGTGTTCAACATTGTTTTTCTCTCAAAACATATTAAATTGATACAAATTGATATGTAGGAATAATATGTAGCACTGTATCTGAGGAATACCTTGTACCTCAAAGAGTGCCCAGTGCCACAATACTACATTTTACTTCAGAGAGTCCCAAGTAATACCTAGGAATTCCTAGTACCTCAGAGAATAAGAATACTTCAGTGATACTTAGTAACTCAAAAGGAGTGAACAAAGACCTAGGAAGGCTTAGTACTTCAGAAGGACCAAAGTTATACTGAAGAATACCTAGTGCCTAGGGTGGTGGTGTGGAGAAGCATTGGTATCTCAGACTTACCAAAATAATACATAGGAACACTTAGTGTTTATTTATAGTATTTGTACGGAGATTGGAATGCAGATTCACCCAGGAAGCATATTGACCCCATGGGGGAAAATGAATTCACCTAGCTTGTTTTCATGGATTTGGCAACTGAATCCACCAAACCACCCGAATCCGTTACACAAAAAAGAGATTGTGGACACCCTTACTGTACACCAATCACAAGTTGTAAACATGACAACATTTAGTGTACTTTGAAACAATGAAACTGCTTATCGTAATTTATACCATTCAAAGCAATGTCTGTTATTTATCAATGTCTATGAAATGCCCATGTCTGTGAACGTAAGGCATATCAGACCTGGGAAAATTCCCCTGTCATCCTTCCTTGGCCAACTGGCATACCAGGTGAACCCCAAGATTTTAGACAACAATGTGGGTGCAAAGCCCACAGCTATTGATGGATAAATGCTATCATTATGATTTAATCAGTTACAAATTCCATCTTAAATTACAATTTTAGATAAGGTGTTCAAATGTTCTTCCCTTCACAGCCAAACACTGCTCCCATTGTTGAAGCACAGAGTTACAAATCTCTCTCGTGTTTTAATTCCACAACACTTCTCTTGTACTGGAATCTTTAATAATCCTGTTCAGGATGTATAAAAAGCTGTTACATTTGTATATATTTTGTATACAGGCACTCAGGGCCAACTCCAGTAATTTTGCAGACTGATATTTTGTGTTTCTCCGGACACTTCTAGCTCAACTTGTTCATGAGCCAGGCAAATTATTTTTTGCATAGGAGTCAGAAGGAGTCCTAAGATTCAGCTCATAGCTTGGACAAATTACCTTTTGGCTGATTGGACTTAAAAGACTAGCCATGTTAGTCTACAACAGTGTTTCTCAACATGGAGGCTGGGACCACCGGGGGGGGGGGTCGTGAGGGGGTGTCGGAGGGGTCACCAAAGGCCATCACAAAACACAGTGTTTTCTATTGGTCATGAGTGTTCTATGTGGGAAGTTTGGCCRAATTCTATCATTGGTGGGATTCAGAATGCTCTTTGATTGTAGGTGAACTATAAAACCCAGCAATTACAACTCCCAAATGTCAAGGTTTATTTTCCCCAAACTCCACCAGTGTTCACATTTAGGCATATTGAGGATTCATGACAAGTTTAGTCCAGATCCATCATTGTTTGAGTCCTCAGTGCTCTATGGATGTCAGTGAACTACAACTCCAAAACTCAAGTTTTGGAGTTGGTCCTGGGAGTTCTGTGTGCCAAGTTTGGTTCAGCAATGGCCAAGTTCTGTGTGCTAAGTTTGGTCCACCCTGAAGTGTGGTGGAGGCTCCTTCTATGGAGGCTTTTAAACAGAGGCTGGATGGCCATCTGTTGGAGGTGCTTTGAACGCGATTGTCCTACTTCTTGGCAGGGGTTGGACTGGAGGGCCCACGGGGTCTCTTCCAACTCTATGATTCTATGATTCTATTATTCTAATTCCATATCTGGTGGAGTTCAGAATGTTCTTTGATTGTAGATTAACTATAAATCCCAGCAACTACAACTCCCAAATGACAAAATCAATCCCCCCCCCCCCCAACCCCACCAGTATTCAAATTTGGGCATATCGGTTATTTGTGCCAAATTTTCGTCAAGTGATTGAAAATACATCCTGCATATCAGATATTTACATTACTATTCATAAAAGTAGCAAAATCAGTTATGAAGTAGCAACGAAAATAATTTTATGGTTTGTGGTCACCACAATGTGAACTGTATGAAGGGGTTGCAGCATTAAGAAGGTTGAGAACAACTGGTTTGTTTGTTGGTCTAGAATATCAATATGCAAAGGGGATTTTATGGCATGTTAGAGACAAACCTAAGAGAAAAAAGTTGGTAACAGAAACTTTTGTAGGCTTCAGTCTACTTCTTTAGAAGAATGATAAAAATCAAAATATTATTTTTGGTTGGCTGCTTGTTTTGGACTGCAGTTGTAGGTAGGAAGCCCTAAGCCAGCATGGCCGGTGGGGAATTCAGGCAATTGTAATCCAAAAAGGTAAGTTTGCCAAGCACTGGCAGATTTTCCATCTTTCACAGTAACTTTTTAAAAGTACAGTAATCATAAGTGACAGTTTGTTGTGCCTTTATGACTCCCAAAAACTGCTGCTCGAAAGGGCGGTTTTATCCTCCCTAATATTAGAGCTGATACTGAGGCAACTGGTCAAGTGTATATTTTGCACATAGGCAAACCACAGACTCAGTTTAAAGTTGCAAATGGCAGACTTCTGAGCAAGACTAAAAAAGAAAAACTCCATTGCTAATCAGAGTACACCTACAGACCTTGTAAAATTAATAGCACTTTAACAGAATACTTTGTTTAATGGTGTTTTAATGTTTTAGCATCAAG